AAAAATCATCTGGCGTTTCAAAACTTAGCAAAACTGTGAGCGTCAGTTATTTCTTACGGAAAACAAGCATACATAGAATGATTTGAGAAGCAGCTGTTGTTGGCTAAGAGTATACCGCGACAAACAGTCTACAACTAGGGCTTATCACAGAAGCCCTGAAGCCTTAATTTAGAGCCTAAAGATTTATTTTTAAACCAACCGCTTTTTATGGAGATTACCCTAATCTCCACTCAGCAAATCCAAACTTATATATATTCCGCTTACATGAAAGTTATAAACGGTTATTTTTTTACAATTTGAGCAGCATTTCACAAGTGATCAACAGGTTGCTTTGTAGGGATATAACCAAACCATGTCCAAACGGGATTTCTTTTTTAATTAAAGGTTCTTGAAAAGCTACTTTGGTATGCAGCTATCAACAAAAACATGTTGCTATCACTGGGAGAGTTCATCAGGTGGTGCATACCAAAATGTGTATATATCGCAGCCCGTATGCCAGAAAAATGAATGTGTAAAAATTAAAGTTTTGGGAAATCAAGTTTTAAAGTTTTTTTTTTTACCGAGACTCAACTCTAAATTTATACAATTTAAATTGTAAAATATGTGCTTTCCATGTACGCATGGTATTCTGGGTTTTGGTATAACATAGAACATCCAAAGGTTAATCAAGTTAACCCAATAACTCAAAACTGATAAATTTGCACATTCATGCTTCTGGCATAAGGGGGACGAGATATACATACGTACATTTGTATATTCTCAGATATAGGGTGATTAGAGATTTTGATAGTTTAAATTAATTTTATATTCTAATTTTATTTTTACATATGTATGTATGTATGCGCATACCTACACTACTTCCAATAAATTTAACTGCTTCATTAGCTAGGTGTGTAAATGCGACTCGTAGATGTTATCTTCATTTACTGCCTACGAACACTTACGTAAATCTCTTTTGTGAAGTGCTTTCAACCAGCTTTGCTATAGGAAATGCTTCGACAAATCATAATCAAAAAAAAGTGCATTTAATTTATTTCTGTCGAAAAATGGGAAATAAACTTGTTTCGCCGCAAAGACTTTTTATAGGCTTATTCATTAGGCAAATAATCGAAATTAGTAGTAAAAAACGAATTAAGTATGTAAGTACTTGAATATGTAGATCGTTTTTTAGTGCATCCAAGGAACCACGTTCAACCTAATTTATCTCGTATCGATACTCAAATCAACGCTGTCATGCAATCTGTTACTCTTTCCTAGGCCAATAATGCACTGCCAACGCAGGCATATAAAAGGAGCTCGGCGTTTGTCCTCCGCACAGTTGAACGCGTAAAATGGATTACGCAGCATACATTCTACTGAGTAGGCATTAATTCGAACTGAACTTGAATGGAAATTTTCAAAAACAGTTTTATTTACAGTTACCCTTGCGCTGTGTCATACCCCTCGGCTACTAGAAGCACACTTCGTCCAACAAGCGTCGATGTATACCCAGCCAGAGCCACCGGGACTACCTGTTCTGCTAGGTGAGGTAGACAATAAGGTACCACGTGACCCCACTGAAGACATTGGGGCGGTAGGGACCATCGGGCCACAAGATTCCACAGGCCGTGATGGGCGTGACGATGCAGCTGGTCACCAAAGTACGCTTGGTTTACGTGGAGGACGTGGCTTACCGGCCCCTAATAGACTACCTGGCGCTCCTCGGCAGAAGGAATTTATGGATAGGCCTGGACCAAAAGAAACTCCTGAAGCTTCCGTACGACACATTCCATATAACATTCAGGCGGAGGAGGGATTCGATAACTACGATTATGAGTGAAACGTATGTAGAAAATATGAAAAA